TTTCACGACACATCGATGTGGATTCCATGATTAAAGCTCTTAAACAGTTGAACAGTTGCTAAGGTTAACAATATATTTTACACGCTTTAAAACATTTGCTCACTGCGACCAATAGGATTTCAGGTCTTGAACACAGTCGATTAATAAGCGCAAGGAAATCTTGTTTACTGGGTCAACATATTATTGATATAAGCCGGCTTCTGGTCTTATTAGCAGCTTTTGTGTGTGCCTGTCACATAACTAAAAGCTATAAAAAAGATAATGATTATCAGAAACGAGTTTTTAAAAATTTCTCCTGTGAGTATCTCATAAAATCAGTTCTTAACAATCCCGGCCTTAATTTGAGACCAATCTTTTCAACCCGAAGTCTAACTTCGATCAGCTTATGTTCTGGATGAAACCCTAGTGTGTGACCATTCAAAGGAAAGCCATTGACTGTACAGCGAATCATTTAGTTTAAGGACGGTGCCTACTTTTGTTGAGTTTTCCCGATTATAAGCGGAAGTGACGCAATTGTCTGACCCAGCGGAAGTGAAATGTTTGGGTGTTCCCAAGAGAAAGAGCTTTAAAATGCGTTGACCCGAGGATAAAGAGGGTAATTTACTAGCGTAGCTAATCTGTTTTCACTCAAAGCAATTGCTTAACTCTACTGCTTTTGTTCGATGACAATATCGACGGTTAAAAATAAATTCATAAAATTCTTCGCCGAAGCGAAATTTAAGATGAAATTCCCTTCGGACGTTGTGTTGAAATCTGAAATTGCCCTTTATTGAGAAACCACCCAACGTTTAAATTGTTTATCTGCTTTTGAAAAATCCTCAAAGGGCAGGAGAATGCCTTAACAAAATATCTTGCCCGAAATGACGACTGCTTAAAAACAAAATTTTGGTCTCTCAAAGCAATACAAAAATTCTTTGATCGCGTGTAACAGAATTCTCAATCGAATATTTCATATAATATCTGGACTCGATAAATCCGACGGCAGCCACTGATAAATATTTTATTTCACGGCTGAGGCCTTTTAATCTTCCCTTAAGCAACGAAAAAAGAAAAACACGCTCATACGTAGTGATGTGAGAAAGAAACAACGAGATTTAACACAAACACTCACCGGTACAACAGTGCGATCCTCGATCTTTCTGTTCCATGCTTTCTCCGATGAATTCCAAATTGTAAAGTGGTGAATTCACCTCCATCGAAGCGAATAAAAATCTGCCCGATCAGTCTCCCATAACCGATCTTTGACGAGAAAACGCCGCGTTCTCGCCGGTTAAGCGGCGAAGGCAAAGCAAAACAGAACAGAGATATTGGGGTAAAATGTAAATAAGGACATAGACAATCACACGAACGAGGCTGGCTTGTGCCACGTCAGTTTCTGTGTCGTCATTTGCATAATCACAGAGTGTGACCTGTGAAGAAGATTTCATCAGGCGACAGGGAGGGAAAGTACTTCAAATAGCCAATCAAAAAAAACGAGCAGAAAGCTGGAGGCCGTGTTTTGACTGTTCAGAGATTAACTTTTTAAGTCTGCGATAACAACAGATGTTCCAGTTTTTTGCTGGCGCGGTCCTCTCTCGACGTAAGCGCTATTTTATTTTTTTTATCTGAGAAATAGATTTT